GGCCCATCTCCCGTACTGCTGGACCAGATCGGCCCGGCTGACCAGGCGAGGGATGAAGTGCAGCCTAATCAGGCTGTAGAAGTCACAGATGACCGTCACGCTCTTCCGGGCCGTGTACCAGGCCCCGACCAGGGCTAAGGCTTCCATGTAGCAGTTGCAGGACCTGGCAATCTCCCGGTACAACAGGTAGAAGCTGTCCACAGCAGCCATGGTGACAGCACCTGGTGACGAGAGAGAGACAGACGGTCTTTGCTTAGTAAGTTCAACCACCAAGCAGCTGGGCATTGAAGGCAGGCACTGAGGGACACTGGATCCAGGCAGTGCTGAACTGCTGTAACCCTTCGCACACATGGAACCCGTGGATTCAAACCACAAAGCACTGAACCTGTCGCAGTGAGTCCATTCCAACTCACACAGGCCTGCAGCACAAGGTAGGACTGTCCCATTGGGTTCAGAAGGTGGCACTGGTGGCCTAGGGAGTAGAGAGTTTTGCTGCCAATCTGAAGGCAGGAGGTTCAAATCCACCAGTTGCTCCTTGAGAGCTATCTTGTGAGATGCATGGCCTTCGTAAACTTGCTAGAGGGTCAGCAAGGAAAGAAAAACCTTTGGAAGAAAGATGGGTCATCTGTTAAGAGTTTACAGTCCAAGGGGAACTCTGGTGGCCTAGTGGCAAGGAACTACAACTACAATCCCAGAGATGCATGGTTCGAACCCACCAGATGCTCTGCCAGGGAAGGAGGGACAATCTCCTCCTGTACCAATCAGATCTAATCTAACAGTACACGTACACAAAAAAATAATAATAATAAAAAAAATTTAAAAAAAAAAAGAGTTTACAGTCCTGGAAACCCACTGCAGGGCCACTGAGTGAGAACCAACTCGAAACAGGGAATGTGAGTTTGTGTTTACTCCTTAAGGAAGCACACGACCCTATCTTTCTCTGCCAGAAGCAACTGGTGGGTTTGAACTGCCAAACTTCACGTTAGCAATATAGGGCTCAAATGTGACACCACTGGGACCCCTGGGCTGTGACTCCACCCCATTTACTGTCACGTGACTTAAGAGCTACAGCTTATAAAGTGCTTTGCTTTCAAGGAGATGAATCAATGTTTAACTACCGAGAGTTACCAAATGCCTGCTAAGATGCAAGCACTCTACTCCACGCTGTGGCTACGGAGATAAACACAATATGCTCCGGGCCCTAAAAAACCTCCTCGTCACAGGCTGTGACAGGCAGGGATTTCTGGGGTGACATCACTGCAGAGGCGTGCTTATTTGTAGCCGCCTTCACCATCAGCAAGTGCTGAGGACCTGCTCCACGTGGAGGGGCAAAGAGAAGACAGGGTCAGGTGAAGGCAAGTCTGGGCCTCAGAGAGCAGGCCACCCCAGGCCAAGCTCGGCCCGCGTAAGCTCGACCAGGAACAGCGACTGAAAATGGACATTAAAAATCAGATACTGCTCCAAGCATATTCCCTGAAGTCGTCTTAACTCAAACATTAGTTCGGTGTCACCTGCGTCTGCCCTGAGCACTGTGCTCTTTAAGATCTCTTTATAAGGGATTAAAGTGACAGCCGAAACCCCAGAGGCAGACTCAGCGCCTCAGGCCCGCGTGATCACCAGGAGGAACAGCTCAGGATCGGGCTGCAGGGAGGGACTGCTGAACTGAGTGCGCCTGGCTGCTGGAAACTGTCAGCAATGACAAAAGAAAGGACTTTTTGTTTTTTAAAAGCAATGACATTTTTAAAACGAGAGACTGCCAAAACTAAAGAAATGGCTTCCTCTAAAAACACAAAGATGACTGAAGTCACTGGTCCTCTGCCTGGTCCCCGCAGCTCGAGAAAAGGCAAGTCCGACACACGTCCAATAAGCAGCCACACGCCAGTGCTTGCCCTGTCCCTGTACAGGGACGGTGGACTGGGTTTCTAATATAAAACACGTTAACCGTGCCCAGGTAAGGCGGCAGGCGTGTAGGGAAAGAAACACCTTATGACCTAGGGACATTTGGTGGCGCAGTCCACAGGGAGTTGCCCCACTAACCTAAAGGCACCCGGTTCAAGCCCACCAGCAGCTCAACAGGAGAAAGATGCACCATCTCTTGCCTTGTAATTCATGGCTTGTGACCGCTGGAGGGCTGGCTGTGAGTCGGTTCCAGCTCACGAGCTGCGCTGCACGTCTCAGGCGCGTGGAACCCACCAGCAGCTCCACAAGAGGATGTACACAGTCTGCTCCCGTTACAGTTTACGGCCTTGGAGACCTGAGGGACGTGTCAACCGACTCAAGAGCAACGAGAGCGGACTCCATGAGCTGGATGACCGCGAGCTGGACCTATGTGCACGTTCTCTTATATCCACGCACACACGTCGACACGTGTCTCATTCCCACAGAGTCTGAACCAAGTCACTGCTGGCCTTCCCGGCAGGTCTGCGGAAGCTATAAACTGCCCGGAGGACTGTGTCCACATTTCTCCCAAGGAGCCGCCGCTGCATTCAAACCTCCGGGGCAGTGCCACCTGCACTTGGCAGCACAGCTCGCCTTAGGCTGTGGCACCAGCTGCACAGGGGCAAAGGCCAGGCCACTCAGGTCCTGAGGGCGCCACCAAGAACAGGAATTTGACCCGAGACCAGGCTAAAATATCTGGGAGTACCATTCTTATTTAATTACTACTTTTTTGTAAGTTAATTTAGAGAAGGTTTACAATTAGTTTTCCTTTATTCACACACACACACACACACACACACACACACACACACTTGACTCCTTCCGTCCCCCAATCTACTCTGTACTGCTTGCCCTGTTCCAAGAGCTTCCTTATGAAAACCCCATGAAAACACATGCTGTTCCTCAAAGAAAGTCCTTGAGCCATAATGTAGTAACTACAGCAGAAAAAGGGGCGTGATGGTCAGGAAGAGTGAGTTTCCTCCCACTTCACCACAGTGTAACCTAAACTCAAAGTTCTGCCGGTGAGAGGGTAGCTGGGAAGACAGGACAAGCCGAGAAGGGGACACTCGGATGGTCCCACAGGCAGGAATGGGGGACATGGGGGATGCAGTCCCTATGACACCAACCAAAAGCCTACGAAGGATGGGAACGTGTGACAGAAAAGGCAACAGAAGCCACGTGAGGGGTTCTGCCAAGCCCTCGTGATAGGGATGAGGTCGGTCCTGGAGGCAGGGAGACTTGAGGCCGCCCACATCACTGATGAGCCCAGAATTATCGCATTCATTAGTTAAGGAAACCCACCTCTCAAAAAACAACTCCTCCTGATTTAGGTTGATGGGCACAGAGGTCCTCAGCCTGACACACAGAAATGTGATCCAACCTTTCCTCAGGGATGGAGGGATCGGGGCCCATTTACAAAACCCACAGAAAGTAAAGACTCATCCTCGTCAACAATGGACCCCAGCCCACCCACGGGTCTGTGATAAAGTCTACAAAGGAGCACAAGTGGAAGACCAAACAACGGTGGTGATACGGGCATTAGAGGTGTCAAGCCCTCATGCAGTAAAATCCACATACAACTCCTGACTCCCCTGAACCTAACCGCTACTAGCCCACTGCTGCAGGGAGGCTTACCGAGACCACAGGGAGGGTTTCTCCTGCTCTGTGTATGCACTAAACGCTGCTGTTAGGAGCCACCAAGTCAACCACAACTCACAGCAACCCCGAGGACAGGCCTGAACGTGTCCTCTCCGGTGCAGTCCTCACCACCTGACAGGCGTGAGCCCGCGGTCACTGTATCGCTCCATCTCGCCGAGGGCCTTCCTCTCTGGCTCTGACCCTCCACCTTTCCCGGCATGACGTCTTTTTCTGAGGACTGGTCCTTCCTCACAACACGCCCAAAGCGTATGAGAGTTCCACCATCCCATCCCAGCCTCCAAGGAGCACCCGGGTTGTAAGGTCTCCAAGACAGCCTTGTTTGTTCTTTTGGAAGTCCGTGGGGATATTCAGTACACAATCTCACAAAAGAACTGCATTTTTAACACAAAGTAAAAAGGTGCAAGAAGTGTAAGGCTTTTGTGCCTGCAGGCATAACGAACAGTTGCGTCATTAATTCCCTTTTATTTAAAAAGGTCTGGATTAATCTTCAGTTGGCAGCCCACTACAGCTGCAGACCTCAGTCTATGGTCCTCAGCAAGCAATTCAGCGTCTTCCTCTAATGTCACTGGCTTGCTTCCTAGGAGCACTCCTTGCACCATTAGTAACATCCCGAACGGGTCCCCTGGCGTTACTCAAGGTTTACGGTTTTGCATGGAACACAATGAAAATACAAGAAAACTCTGGAGATCACTTTTTATGTGGTGTACAATTTACCAAAGAGATGATTAATGACGCATGGCATTAAAAAACCCAAATCAAAACAAAAAACCCACGTGTAAGCAGCTCCGTGCCGCTCAAACCAGTGCTGTTCAAGGGCCAATTATACCAAACAGCAGTGAAAAAGCCCAGGTGGTGTAACAGTTAAGCACTCAGCTATTAATCTAAACGCTGGAGGTTCAAATCCCTCCAGGGGCTCCACAGGACAAAGGCCTGGTGAGCTGTCCTGTACACACGAGAGCCTGGAAAACTCCACGGGGGAGGACTCTGTGTCCCATGGGGTCCTCAGCCCCCGGAAACAACAGAAGAGGGATGGAGGACACAGCTTGGAACCAGACCTGGAGACTGCCATCACAAATAAGCTGGGACTGCCCTGCACACCCCGGTGCCTAGTGCCCACAGAAGGACAAATGGAGGCCCAGCAGCCCAGCAGCGTGAGGGATCTACAGAGGGGACATGGTGTCCTGAGAACCTGCAGCACTCCAGGCATCTGGGCACAGGACCACCAGGAAACAGTTCAAATGTGATTCCTGCCCAGGAAGGGTGCAGAGCCGTGCCAGGGTACCAGAAGAGGCCTGCCTGCCTACCTGCCAAGCTGAAGTGTGTGGAAGAGATCCTCAGGCCCCAAAGGCAGGAGTCCAGCAGGCCTGGTTCTGGAAGGGCCTGTGACGGCAGAGGGGCTGCAGTAACAGGTGTGCCAGGGCATGCTGGGAGCACGGGGCGGGGCACAGAGAGCCGCTGGGCTGGGAGCACAGGGCACCTCCCTCAGTCACACATCAGCTCCTAGCCCGTGCACCGTAAATGGGAAAGAACAGGCAATCAGAAATCCATTACAGCCTCTCAATCCTGCTCCCGCCCTCAAGCACATGCTGGAAAACACTGTCTTCCCAATGGAA